TTCGTTTAGATCTTGCTTAAACTTTTTAATTCTCAGATTCTCTCGCGAAATGCAAAACCCATTTGCACTTGCTGCAGCATCGAGATGGCGGCTGTATTCGGAAGATGATGATCCTGAGGCTGGTTCTTGGTCTTTGCGATTGACCTGTTCAATTTAAGAGTAAACACCAAAAATCTCAGTGGGTCAACAAGCTTCAAGAACCTAATCTTGCTTTTGTTTAAACTCAGTAAAATGTTAATTTCTGTCACCTTAAGATCCTTAAACACATTGTCATCTTTTTATAAAATCCTAAGGCTGCAAACAGCTTTGTAAAGTTTTTTCATAAATATTAAATTACAATTTTTATAGTCACAACTTGTGTTTAAGTCTAATTTTTCTGCCTTCCTTTTTGCTGAATTTTACTTGTGTATTTCTTATTTCTGGGAAATTATCAGTGATACCTAATATTCTAGAGGCCTAATCAGCCTTGATGATAAATACAGTTATGTGTGTATGTAGGGGTTTCATTAAGGGCCAAGTACTGAGCAAATTGACCCTCTGTGAGGATGATTTTGTTCGTCTGGTTTCAACATGTAAGAGGAAATTTTTTTTCTTATAATTAAGTTCAGTTCAAAACACTGAAGACCAAAACCTGTGAAAACTAGTTGCCCTTCGGCTAAAAACGTTAATGGAACGCCTGGTGCATGTATGTATGTGCACATGTACCTCTGATGTAGAGGAGGCTGAAGTTGCGTTCTTGACATCAAAGGGCTGCAAAGTTAACTCAGCCTTATGAAACTCTCCAAACTGAATGGCAGACTGGGTGTTGGTCTTCAGTGCTTGATCATGTTTCTCGACACAACATCCGTACCTCATGGCTTGCACCATATCTCCCTGCAGTTTTGTTTGACGTCTAACAGGAGAAGACTTGATAGCTTTGACCAATGAACTGTGATTGTTAATTATCAAGACCTGACACACACCTCGAGTGACTGCTGTGTACACATGTTGCCAGGTCTGATAAGCTGGACTACCAACCACATACACAATTGTGTTACTTTCTGAGCCCTGGAGAGCAAATCAAAACATTGTGATTTTAAGTTTGAGACAGTGAAATCAGGAAAAGGAAACAAATAACCAAATAAAACAATAATCCTAGAAGGCTTTGCATGCAGTCTTTCTAAGTTCTTCTCTTCAATCTTAGATCCTTGATTGAGAAGAAAACAAGAGCAAAAAACAGTGATGGCAAGGTTAGCTGTCTAGGACAGAAGTAGTGACTGCGTTGATCTGTGCATATTGAAATACGTGTAACAGTGAAATATTTTATAGTTAAATGGACAGTTCAGTTGAACAGTTCAGATTTTAAAGATAGGTCATTGAAATCTCACCAACATGGGATAAAAGGTAATTGGCAATGCCCGCATTTTTCAAAACCAATGTTTATATTTAAGAAATAGAAAACATGTACCGTGTTTCTATCGAGTTATAGAAACACGAGTGGAAGTTTGGGGGAACGAGAAATGCTGTGGGAACACGCGCTGCAGGCAAGTGTTTCCACAGCTTTTTCGAGTTCTCCCAAGCTTTCATGAGTGTTTCTATTATTCGATAGAGACACGGAGAACATGTTTTCTATTTCTTTTAACACTGTAATGAAAAAAAAGAAAACAGCTTGTTAACTTTGATTATCAAAGTGTAAATTCTCTTTGCACGCGCAATCATTACGTCAACAGCTCGTGCTAGTTGTGTTTCCATCGAATTATAGAAACACAATTTTTAACCAATCAGCGTGCATATTTTCTTAGGACTGTTTTCTAATGTTCAATATATACATTGTACATGTACATTAGTGACTAGCTTTAATACCCAAGTATATTTTTTCTTAAATGTCTTTCATCAAGACTTGGTTTATAAGGAGGATTTATTGCACTGTACCTGGAATGTGTGGATAGTTCTTGCCCAAGCATGACTCAGTTTGGCTGCTCTCAAATATTTAAAATCAATCTTCATTATCTTTTCGCCATTGTCGAGGCTGAACTTGGCCACCTTCCTATTCCTATTGTCTATCCCTTCAACAATACCTTTGATGAAGAATATTTCTCCATTGACTAACTTGACAACTACATCTTCATATTCATCAAGACATTCGACATTGCGCCTTACACAGACCTTGTCTCCAATCTGAAACTTTGGCTTACCACGCTCATCTTTAATAGGATGGTCATTGTAATGCAGAGCACATAGTTCATTTATGATGTTACAGTCATTTCGACGGAATGCAATGAATTGTGATGCATCAGGATCAGGCAAGACAAACGATTTTTCTTTCCCTTTTAGCACATCCTTCACAACCTGGGTGATTTTGTTAGCTTCGTCATCAGCATCATTTCGTTTTGGCTGGTATTCCACTGAGCAGAAGCCTCTCGCTTGATCAAAAAGTGGCATCTGCTGGTTTGATATTTTAACGGCATTTTCCACAATAAGCTCTGAGTCAGCTCGGTGATTAGTGTTGAGGGTAATGGAAACACCATGTTTCATCAACGCTTGGTAGATATCAGCCAGAAAATTGCCTGGCTCGATGGATGGTAGCTGTAACACGTCACCCAAGAGGATAACTTGCTGTAGCTGTGCACTTGCCTTCAGAATGCTGACTAGCTTGGCAAACACCCTCACTGGGATGAGGCTGCACTCATCACATACCAACAGGCGAACCTTGCTGAACTTCCAGTCATCTTGACCATTCTCATTCCAGTGTTGAAAGCTGTATATGACTGAGTGTAGGGTGTGCGAGGGCAGCTTAGTTCGCTTGCCAAGTATTGATGCAGCCTTACCAGTGGGAGCTGTGAGTAATACCTCATCGTCAATTGCCTTCAGCTTGGCTTTGAGTTTACAACCCTTCACTTTTGATTCAGAAGATGACTCTTCATTCACCAGGGGAACTGGATCAGTGTCGCTGGTGCCAGGATCACACTTCAAATCTAGCTTGACTTTGTATCCATCTGGATCACTTCTGCAATCTGAATCTTCAGTGGATTGGACATTCAGGTCAGGGGAAGAGGCTATGTCACTGCCAGCATTAGGTGTGATGTCTGCACCATCTAAACCAGCTTCATGTTCTTCCATTACCCTCTTCTTTTTAACTTCCAGTGCCTTTGACAAGACTTTTGTTACCACAAATGTCTTGCCACAGCCACCCCTACCTGACATTGCAACCACAGGCTTCTCTGTTATAAGTTTGGCTGCCTTCACCTGGTCTTCATCACCCCCAAATACCTTAAATAAGTAGAGTAAAATAAGAACAGAAAAAATGAATTCAGTACAGTATACCACAATTACCCTCACTGAGCAACCTTGTCCCCAGGGCATTCTCCACTTCTTAAAATGGTGGGTTAGGGGAATCGACCAGCTGCCATTTTGAAAATCGTCAAGGAGAAGGCCCTGGGGATGAGGTTGCCTCACTGAGGCCTTATGATCAGTGTGCTTGTCTAAGGATCCAGCAGTCTGTATACATGTATGAAACCAGCCTGGGCACATTGTGCTGTGTTCCTGGGAAAGACACTGAATTTTCAGTGCCTTTCTCCACCCAGGTGTATAAATGGCAACTGGTGAATTTAATGCTGTTGCAGGGTAGCCCTGCAATGGACTTGCATCCCATCCATGGGAGAAGTGTGATAGCCTTATGGTTAGTCCAGTGATCTCCAGTTGGAGTACAGTAGTCTGGGTCTGAGTTCTGGCCGGGGACATAGTGTTGTTTTCTTGGGCAAGACACTTAACTCACAGTGCCTCTCTCCACCCAGGTGTATAAATGGGTACCGGCGAATTTTATGCTGGGGGAATAATCCTGCGATGGACTACCATTCCATCCAGGTGGGAGAAGAAATAAGTTCCTTGTTGCTTCATGCCACTGAATCCAGAAACAAATCTGGCCAGATGGACCACTTGGCTCGTATGCAGACTTTGTTTCATGTATATTATAATTTATTACTATATACTGAGACATTGCTTTTCAAATGTCTCTCATGGATCTTTACAGCCTGTATAAGCCACCTATCAAAGGAATGAGTGGCAAGACTTGTGAAAAGCTAAGGGCACATACACATTCACTATTAGACAGTCATAATCTTGGAAGTTTTGAATCATTTTTCAGCTGGATCAAGCCAGTGCACCCACCATACCACATTCAGTACCACCTCCTTCACCTTTCAAACTAAGTCAAACCTTCCATCCAAAGATGGCCTACTGTAATGACATCCAACCACAAAATGTCAGGTGTACAACACGTTCTGAGTACCAGACTGTTACAGTGTTGAAGACGAGTTAGTCTAGGATGACTGAAACAATAATCTTCTCATCTGTACTAACAATAGGCTCATGAAGCAGAGGATCAACATAAAGATAAAGTACATAAACTGTAGAAAGAAAACAAAGATTGTTGTTGTTGTACTTGTGCACAGGTAATGTAGATGTTGTGGTCCAATTTTACCCTTGGTAGGCAGTCCACTCAGTTTGGGAAATGGTGAAATTTTTCCAGCAAAATGATGATTATTTCTACTTTTGTTGTTCATACTCCAAAGTGGTCTTTGAATGGCAAAAAAGTCAATCTCAGAATAACTCTTAAGTTTGGGGTGTCCTATCTCAGTTTCCTTTTAACATATACTGTACACTGTTGGTAAGACTGACGTCTTAATGGCTGTCAACAGAAGACTTATGCACCTCACACCAGCTTGATCAGGCTTTATACTGAACCTCTATAACTATTACACAAAATAAATGTTACCAATGCAATACTTACTTGTTCCTCAATTTCAATGTCGCCAACCCATGGTTTATTATCCATGATCCAAGCAAGATTCCGTGCAATTGTTTTCTCATATCCACGAATATGTGTAAGAAACACATGACAACTGTCCCTTGCTGTAGAAGTCTTGACAACGTTTATCTCCTCTAAATAGGCAAGACTCTCTTCCCATTTTGTGACATTTTTCATCTTCGGATGCCTTTTGAGCTGCATCAAATGCACATATGTGTGACCATCCTTGTAGATCATCCTGGAAAGTGCATCATATACACGCAATGCATCTTGCATAACAACTGGCATTGTTTGGAGTAGATTACAGTCAATAAAGGATTGCAACTTTGCTTCACAACCTTTAAGACCAAATCTAGTTTTTAGAACACTCCAATAACCAAAGACCCAACTCTCTTTCTCAAGGGCCTCACTGAGACACTCCAACTCTCTATAAGAACGTTCATCAAACAATGAACAAACATGACGTGGAAATAACCGATGAGCAAACCTTGTAAATAATGGAAATGTGAATGCTTTACCAGTTGCTGCAAAAAAATTACAAAGATATGTCAATTTAGACATAGCTATGTTAGCAAAAAAGGCAAGTGCTCAGCAAATATAATTGTCAGGAATGTTTCATATTTTAAATCCTCTAGAGCATAATTGCTGCAAATAACAATTAGATGGTGGAAAGCCTTTCTTTGAAACCATGTTTGACTTACACATAACCCGTTTAAAAATCAATCTAATCTTGGAGTAAAAAAGTAGAAAATACAGTTTAAACCTATTTAACTGTATTTAACTATATTCCATTTAGCTCTGGCCATTTTCTAAGGCCAGAGCTAAATGTCTGTATTATGGACATGTTTGAATCATAGACATAGAGGCTATGATGAATTCTTGTTTCTGTCAGTTGAACTTCACAGCACTAGTCCACACGTACCCCCCCCCCCCCAACCATTACCACAAAGCCATGCAAAATCACTTCACGTCTCTTGGCAGTAAATGAAATGCACCTTCCTTACAGGTGAATGGGCATTGAAAGTGCTATAGATGATCGGTTTCTCTAAGGAACTGATGGTCCTCACACCCATTACCGCTCATTTTTTTTCCCTTGCGAGGGAAGTAAAATTTTAGCTGGGAGTTTATGTCAGTTGTCACTGTTATTGCAAAAAACATGTGCGAGGGGCGCGAGGGAGTGAGTGAGAGTTATTGCCCTTGCCATTATTCGCCTGCATTATTGAGCGTTAAAAATTCCTGAGCATTCATCCTAACCGGAGTGCTTTTCAGCTCACCTCCGCCTCTCACACCTTGCCTCCATTTTAGACCTGCTTCCATCATTTATTCATGATCAATAACAGGACAAATGCATGAAAAGCTGATGTCAATAATAATACAATAACAAAAAGGCAGAAGGGACAAAATTAAGTCAAAACGCGAGAAATTCATGTCTGTCATTAGCCAATGAGTGTGCAAGAATTTCTGCAGTTATTGTAAAATTAACAAATCGAATGTGGTTTAACGTGGTCTGTACTCTTATCGACAATGATACGTGTCATCACAGTGGTCAAAATGCTGTGGACTCACAAGGTGCAGCTGAGTGAGTCCACAAGAAATTTTGACCACTGTGATGATGCATATTGTTGTCGTAAAGAGTACAGACCACACTAAACCACATTTCGATTTGTTTTTTACCACAATATCAACGTCGAAGAAAATGTTTTTTTCAGAGCGCGAGCTAAAAAAGGCATTGCCTGACACATTGACGCGAGCAGCGTTGTCTGGACTCTTATTGACAACGACAGATCAGATTGCCAATCAGATTGCGAAATAAGTAGCAATTGTGGTAAAATTAGACAATCGAACTCAATCGAACTCTTGATTTTTGTAAAACTGGTGTTTGACTGAGAAGGTCCGTCAGCATTAAAGATGTGTCCGTATCAACAAAATAACCCTTTGTTCATGTTCCACAGCACAAACTTACGTGAACAATGCAGAGCTTTTTGTATCTGCTCGGCAACAGTATCGTTGTCTTCACTAGAATCAGCAAACTTCTCCAAGTTTTCCATCAGATCCTTCAACGTAGAGCTAAGGTTGTTTGTCGTCATAAACTCCAACAGCATTCTCACGTGTTGAGGGTGCACTTTACACCCTTCGGTCAAGAACAGAGACAGTAAGTTTCCATCGACATCATCGTCTGTTCGCAAACTGTACGACGGTAGCGAAGAGGCCAGCTTTTCTTTCTTCGACGATTTAGACGCGTTTATCTTCATATAAACCATCCACCAAGGTCGAGAGAATAAGCGATCTAAACGCCCTCGAACACGGGTGATACCTGGCTTCGCGACAAGGCGATCGCTTTTGATTTCCATTTCTATCATGTTCTCCACAGTCTTGCGAAGTTTGCGCGAGGGCCTGTGAAGAAAGTCAAAATCTTGATCAGCGCTTTCAAAGACGCCGTCGTCGTCATCGCTATCGCTTTCAAAATCGGAGTCTTCTTTACGTTTGGCGCTGTCTTTTTCCTCTCTAATAACGTATCCAGTAAAGTATGACATGCTTGAACGATGAACATAGAAGATATGTCGCTTTAAACAAGCTAAAGCGAATTGAACATGGGCAATTATGATAAAGAATCAGTTTCATTGAACACAAATTAGTTTTCCCGCGCAAACCTGAGTAACCTCAGTATTAGTTCATGTGGGGTGGGGTGGGTAACAGACTGAACAAGCACTTGAGCCCCGCGGGTACTCAAGACAGAAGTGATTACTTTCTAGTTTCTAGTGATATCGCTTTCCATTCTCACTACTCTTTTTTTTGTTTTCTTTTTTTTTTCGAAAGTGGCGCTCATTTCTCTCATGAAATTAATTGTTGTGTACATTTTTAAGCGTTATTATTAAAGTAAATAAAGTTTAAGTCTTAGTTTTAGTGTGTTTTGGCTGTACTCAGTAACCACCGTAGAGGTTTTTTTTGGCACATTCCTGCGACAAGAAGCCATGACTGAACCAATATTCAACGATCCCGTTTGACGTCAAACGACGAAGTACTCGTTAAACATTGATTGACCTCTATCGCCTCAATAAGTGGGTACAGGTCTAGGCAGGAACAAGTAATTGAACGGTTGCTGAGAGATGAAGGCGGCAATTTGAGAGTTATCTTCAAGATTTGACCGGTTTGTACGCCCGAGTTTGTACGAAACTCTCGATAAGTTTGTTCCAGAATAAGTTTACGCAGGTTTACGTCAGGCTGTTCCAGAAACGAAGAGAAACAAGCTTATATGATGATGTCAAGACTGGTTTTCTTCTTCTTGATTTTGATGCTTTTCCCGGAAGAAGGAGAAGCATGGAGAAGGAGAAGGCGCAGACGATGGACTCCCCCGCCGCCACAAAATTGCATCGTATCTGGTATGGTGAAACTAGTTAGAAGTTTAACATGTACAGAGTACTTCCCTTAATTAACTTGCATGAAGAACTTTGCTAAAATGATGTACTCGAAACTGAACGTAATCCTTTTATTAGCGAGAAGATAAAGGTTGGAGCCTTCACACCTTCGCTCACCTTGCCAACGGTTAAGATGGGATTTGTACTAGAAACAAGATACTGTTCAGTGCTATTTTCAGTTAAGCTGTTTTTTAGGCAGTTCCATATTTTGTTCGACGCTGAGACAACTTGTCCGAGCCAGCTGTCAACGAACATGACGAAATTCACAAGAACTTTTACGACACAGATATATTTACAAATAATCTTCATGTATTTTATTGGGATTAAATGTTCAAGGTAGGCTAACATGATTTTTAGTTGTTTTAAGTTCAAATATCGTCCTAATTTATGCGCACAGAATAACATTGACGTGTTGTTTTTACGGATGTAGTGAGCCTCCATGACGATACATGTTGTGAGTGTTGTTGTTTTTTGTTTAAATAGCTCTAGCGGAAGTGTTTCATTTTCATTGATAAAAAGTTGTTAATGAAACACGCATTCGTATTGGGTGACGAGTTACTTTGCGTGAGTCGACTTTAAAGTTCTTGAAGCTGTGATGTCATTCATGTTACATGCTAACTACTTATAGAAACAATCGTAAAAGTTTGGGAGAACTCTAAAAAGCTGTGGAAACACTCGCCTGTTGCCTTTTGTTCCCACAGCATTTCTCGTTCTCCCAAATCTCCTCTCCTGTTTCTATAACTTGATAGAAACACTGTACAGTGTACATGTTTTCTATTTCTTGATCAATACATTGTTAATGCTTTCATTGGTGAGTGAAACAGGGTACTGAAAAACGAAAGAGTAAAGATTTCCATACACCCCCATACTTATTTATGCATGCAATTTCTATCACAAGTGGGGGTGTAAAGAATTGAATAGGAGACAAAAATGTATGCATAATTAAGTATGAAGTAACACGGAAGTCTTGCATATCCTCGTATTAAGTCCTGATGTAAAAACCTGGCTCTGGTTTAGATAGTACATCCTAAATTAATTCTTGTCTTTACATCAGGTTACTTATATTCAAAACACATACTTTTTGTTTCTTAATTAAAGACATGAATTCTTTTCTCCAAATAGCATATGAAATCAGCATTTGTTTTGCTGAGCATCCACCAGTTTTGAAATGTGAAGCCAGCTGTATTTCATAATCAATGTCAAACTCACTTACAGCAACACTTCCTTGTTGTACATGTATGTGGGGGTTTTTGGTTATAACCTAAACAAACGTAACCATTTAGCACCTAGTGTAATCAGCCTCGTCATTTCTTTGAGTAATTTGAATACATTATTAGGAGAATACAATAAGGAAAAAAAGCACTAAAGAAAATATTTTGAAAAGTTCACTGGCTATAATCCAGAAGACTGTTGAGTTAATCAAAACTGATAAAGTGTTAACATTTAAGAACCATTTCTGAAATGCTTTATTATGTTACCAATAACGGAAGGATCTATTGTGAGAATGAGCACAATAAACCTGAAACATTCCTGTGGCTACTAAATAAACAACATGTACATTATAGGGTGATGCTTTGTGGTGTCAGTGATACTCTCAAGTTTCATGAGTAGATACAACTTAAATATAATCAGTATAGTGAAATAGGTTTGGCATTATCTTATTAGTAAAGTTGTGGAATTCACTGCAATTGTATATCTTGGCAAGCTATGTAATTAGCAAGAGATGACCATCTTTAATATGAAACAATAAATTAGGTTGAGATTTTCTTGTAAGCAAATTCTCAAAAACTTAGCTGCAGTTTCAGATTTCAAATGTTTCAAGTTTTCCTAAAAGCTTGAGCCCTCAACCTTTAGAAACTGTCAAATTCATTCCTATTATTTCTTGATCAAGAACATCCAATGTGAAAGGAGGTATAGTCTGACCAGACCTTTTGAGAGACTGCACACTTTTACCAATACAGAGGTTAAATTCTTTGTATAGCTTTGTTATTTGCTTTTTCAACAACTGCGTCAACCTGTGTGGAAGATGGATGCCCAGGATGTCTGGGGGCCTCCCAAGATTAGCTGGTCCCTGGACAATAAAATGCTCCCATGTTTGGCAATCATCAAAACCCAGCCATGATCCTCCACACATACAGTCGCACCTCCTGTAAGTGACCACCCCAAATGTTAAGCCCTGTTGCTTATGAAAGCTTGGGCCATATTGGGTCAAAATTTTGCCTCATTAGCATATGGCAATTGCAGAGACTTACCATGTTTTAACTGTTTTATTCATGTGAAAAGTCACTTTTGAGAAAGAAAAATCATCACTTTCCACTGAATAATTTCTGTCTCTTGTACTGCCCAGGAATGTGATAATATGTGTTACAACACCTTATTATCTAATTTACGCTCTATTATCTGTCGTGGTCGCTTACAGAGGTTAAAAACCAAAGAAAATTTCCAACTTTCAGCTCTATAAGGGGTCACGGTTGCTTACAACAGGTGGCCACTTACAATAGGTTCCAAATATAGTGATTTGAATGGGAAACTTTTAGTATTTTGGAAAACTGGTCACTGAGGAGAGTTGATTGCTGATGAGAGGTTGTCGCAAGCGGAGATTCGACTGTAGTCATACAGGCATCTGTCACACTGAAATGACAGTGGAAAAGTAGATCCAGGGAGGGAGGGGCAGAAAAAATGAAGACAAAATAACCCAAATCTAGTATGTTTTGCCATGCTTGAACTTGCTACTACTATGTTATTACAGTGCTATCACAATCAATTGTTATTAATTTCTTATTTGTTAAGATAGCATCCCACCCCAAATGTGACCATTGTGGGGAAAAAAATATTTTGTGATAGCAAGATAGATCTCACTCCTACCTTTGTTTTTTAAAAAAAAATTCGAAAAAATATTGTTTATACAGGAAGTTATAGACAAAATAGTGTTTTCTTCACTAATTGCCTTTAATGGAATGTTGACAAGTCATTTTGACAATCTGTCAACTCATCATTATCATGTTACATACCATCCTTGTTTAGACATGCAATTTTGTCATGGCCAGACTAAGCAACAATATTTTCGTGCTGTCGCATGTCTTCCAGAAAAAAGTGAAAGCGATTGACCTGCCCTTTTGTACCAAAGAGATTGGTAAAAAGAAAACAAGGAAATTGTTTTGAACTAATTGTCTCTAGTATGAAAACAGGGATTCTTGCAAAGGTTGTGAAAGACACTCAACAACAAGTAAATCCCGCACCGGAAGTTGTGCCTGGTAATTGTGTGGCAGTAATTTTGTGGCTCTATTCGTCAGTACTGATCATATGGACCATAAAGCAATTTGTATTGTTTCTTATCCAGTTTATTACCATTCTTACCCAACTGCTCACATCTCAGAAAGCATGACTTCTTTAGGATTTTCACTGGAGTCAGTGGTACTTGATTCCTTCCCTGCCTTGCGCGTTCGGCGTCG